CAGAACTCTCTGTCATGACCTGTCCGTCTTGGGTGGCCCTACACGGCATAGCTCATGGCTTCATTGAGTTATGCAAGCCCCTTCGCCATGACAAGGCAGTGATCCATGAAGGGGAACAACAATAATACAGTTAGTGAATTCAAAGAATGTTATTGTAAGTGCAATGAGAAAGAGAGAATAGTCTCCATTCTTGTGAAGATCCTGTAATCTTAGGCTACTAGCTAGCATCTGGCATTTAATATCTTGCACTAGCAATGTGCACAAAACCAATTCCTGTTCAAACACTTTCATTAGCACTCCTCACTCTTAGTACTTCTTGATTATGAATATCTCTTGGTATTTAAATGTATGGATTTCCAATCAATAAAAAAAAACCTTATCTGTAACATTGAAGTGTCATTTCTATTTTTTATTATTATTATTATTATTATTATTATTATTATTATTGCTGTTAAACAAAGTCAATTTCTAATAAATCATATGGGGTACTCTCTGCTAAGCCTTTGAAGACACAGAAACATCAGCAATGTTTCAGCAAAACATCAGCAAAACATGCAATGTAATACAATGATTGATTCACCACTTTCTTTAGTACTGAATTATAATTTGGTTTATTAAATGGCTGGATTATAGTTTGATTGATTAAATGATCAATAAAGCTCCCTTCCCCCCGCCATCCTTCTTGCACTTCTTATATTTCAGCATACATTCATTTTCAATTAGCACTGACCCTATGTTATCCTTTCTAACTCTTTGGTCCTTGGGGTTGATCATACTTGAATTGCTTTCTAGCTTTTTTGGGTTTTCTTCAGGAATGTCCTCCTATATACTTGTAGGAGGATCAGTGGCTAATCCTGTAGTATGAAGGTACAGATTTCTACTTTTGTCTGAATATCCAGAGGGGAGGAATACACAACACCTAAAATAAGATTTCTGCATAACTTTTTTCACTTTATTTCAACTAAAGATGCATCATAGGGAAGCATAACTATACTCATTTTATGGTTAAAGAATCTTTACGTAATCTTTTATTTGTTAATTAACATCTGTTGCATACTATTATTGTATATTAATTTGTTCCTGGAAATACGATACTTTTTAAAAATCTATATGCCACAGCTGAACTCACAATACTTTTTTAAAATCTATATTCCAAACACAATCATGAATCTTCAACCTTGCCATTTAGTTAAATGAGCAAATCTTCATTATTTATTTATTTATTTTGTTGTCGTCGTCGTCGTTATTCTATTGCTCCAAAGAAGCATCTATAAAGATTAACTATCTTCTAATGTGAAAATTTGAAGACAACTATTTGTATTGGGGTCTTCCAGATTTTACTGATTTACTTTCATTATATATAGGAATGAAAATCTGCTTGGATCTTCACAAAGATTTTAAAACCATAAATGAACATGAAAGTCCAAATGCTGATTTCAACCATCCTTTTAATTATTTACAAATGGTTAAAAATTAATCATGAGAAAACCGAATCCTTAGCAAATTTTAGGGAAAGGAAGTCTTCTGAACAACAGTTCTCAACTTTGATATGCAGGTTGCCCATTGTACGAACATCAAAATTTAAAAAGGAAAAAAGAAAATTAAATGGCCAACATGAAATATTGGCATTCTTGTTCAAATTCTTGTAAGATTTCTACACTCCTATTCAAAAGCTCATAAGATTTTAAATGAAATCATGAAAATCTACAACATTTTGCAATCTGGTCATTTAAAAAAAAAAAGATGTTGCTAAACCCTAGCTTATGTGAAGGTCCTTAAAGTTTTTAATAAGGCTCTACTGGCCCGCAGAGGGGAAATATTGGGATCTGATCTGACTGTGACATTTGTCACCCCATTGATTGCCAGGGTTGATTTGGCTGATCTGGTAGCTAGATGGCTGCGCCCTTCCTCCCTCACTGATTCTCTCCCAAAGTCTACAGTAAAACCATCATTCCGTGAGGCAATTCTTGGGCTTGTTGTGTTTATTTTTTTTCAAATATTTACACGTGGTTAAAAATTAAACATGTAAATGGCAACTCGGCTGAAAACGGACAGAAAATTCTCAGGAAAGGAAGTCTAATACTGTACACAGAGAAATAATCTTACCATGAAACCATTATCATTTCTCTTACTTAATTTATGCCTTTCCTTTTCTATTTTGGGACACAAGGTAATGTTTTCATTTGTATAAAAGACTAATTTAACAGAAAACCTTATTTTATTTGTAATAGATTTAAGTCTCTGTATAAAAGTTACAACATATTAATTGTGCTAAACCCACACGTAACAATAGTGCTAATTTTGTGCTTTGTTTCTTAACACATTTCTTTTTCCAGCAAGAGGTGTATCTGGTTGAAGAATGTGTACGTAATAACTATACTGAGAATTCTTGTAACAAAGTGTTTTGCCAGCCTTGGCAGAAGTGTGTATATGGATCCTGTCTCTGTAAGATACCTTACCAATGCCCAAAAAATGGCACTTCAGTTTGTGCTACTAACAAAATAACATTTCGAAATTACTGTCAACTAAAAAGCTATGAATGCCAACACAAAACTGTTAGATTTCTGAGCAGAGGAAATTGCAACCCGCAAGGTAAAACATTGTTTTTGTCTCTTTTTGCTTCTCATTTAAGTTTTGGGTATTGAGAAAGACGAAGTGTTGAGGATGAGTTTTATTGAAGTATGAGATGCAGTCATTCTGTTACATTTGGGGCCAAAGCTGGTATACTTGTCCCGTGTATTTTACATGTGAATGGTTGCTCCTTTCTAAATAACTGTGGGATACAGCAGAACTGTAATGTAGAGGATGTCCATTTCAAAAAATGATGCTTCTGACACGTTATGATTTTTATAAAATAGGACAAAACT